TGGAGCGGGCACATCAAACCGCTCAAATGATGCTCCGTACACTCATCCGTCTGGACCAAAAGGATTGGGTTGACCGCCTCCCCGACATCGAGTTCGCCTACAACACTTTGTTTCATCTGGTGATTGGCATGACTCCATTCGAGTTGCACCACAGTGGGCCGGAAAGGTCGTATCTTCGCTGTACTTTTATTCCAGCAGACTGCCGACATTGACGCCCTTTGCTCTTCCGCCTCCATTCGGAAGTACTGGAACTTGCTGGCTCAAGCTCGCGCGAACATGCACAAGGCTCAAGTTCGCATGCAGCAGCAAGCCAATAGGCGTCGCGTGTCATCTCCTATCCGCGCCGGCGATCTTGTTTGGGTCTCGTTGAAACAGTTTGCACTCGAACAAAATGTTTCGTGCAAGCTACTCACCAAGTGGTTTGGACCTTGGACTGTCACGTCAGCCGAGGGCGACAAGCCTGATGGCCCGTCATTTGTGATCGACATCCCGCCTCACCTACTGGTCCGCCCGGTTTTTCACGCTTCTAAGCTGGCTACGTATACACCAGCCAAGAGCGACAACTTCCCGGACCGACGATCGCAGCGCCCTCCGTCTATGGATGGTCATTAGAAGATCGATCGCATCGTCACGCACCACAAGTACGACAACAAGCCAATGCAGTACAAGGTTACATTTAAGTGGTGTGACCACGACGACACACGGTGGATTTCGCGAGCAGACTTGCAAGCATCCACACCGCTGATCTGCGCCAACTACCAGCGACAACAACTAGCCAAGGAAGCTTCACAGCCTGCCCCTCCCACCCGGACTCTGATCCCTTCCTCCGATAGGCAGCTTCGCCCTCGCCAGTAAGCTCGGGCTTTCAAGGAAGGGGGCGTGTGGCATTCTGAGTTCCACACAGGCCCTACCGGGCCTGACTAGGTAGGACTAGGGGTTGGTTAGGGGGTATTTAAGTTCAGATAGGCCCTGTGTCATTTAGGCCCAGTTTAGGGCCCGTAGGTCCATTTAGGCCAGGTTAGGTGTCAGGCCCTGGCGGATGTTTTTGCGCCAAACCCTGGAGGCAGCGCCATTTCGTTAGGCGCTGCCCGTTGAGGCCCAGCCTCAGTTTGGGCGCCAGTTTTAGGCGCCAGATTTTGACTCGAGGCATATCGGAGGCTGGACCAGCACTATTTATAGCTGGTCCGCATCAGCCTCAGTAGGCATTCGTTGAGACATTCTTCGGGTAGTAGTGCAGTCGAGGATAGGTAGAGCGGTAGTCTTCCAGCGCTGGGCGCTGTGTTAGGGTTTCAGCCACGAGCTAAAGCTGCACTCTACTGCAGCGGAGGTTAGGGAGAGGTCCGGCTATGGCGGAGGCCAGGGGACTTTACCTGATGACTTACCTGCGACGCCATCGTTCCAGCTTCGTCTTCAGCGCGTCCATACCTGTATCAAGGCGACACCTTTCGCAGGTCAGTACCTGGTACACAGAGAGAGAGAGAGAGAGAGAGATCTTCTTCCTCCTCCTCCTTCAGTCCATCGCCCTCCTTCTCCCCCTCCAGCGCTCTGGCTCCTTCTCTTCCTCGTTGGACTATGTGAGAGAGAGAGAGAGTCTTCCTCATCTGTGTATGTGTGCCTGGCGCCCTTCGTCTCTGTGTCCGGCGCCAGGCCATTCACACCGTGTGATGATGACGGTGATGGTGATGTTCAGTCCGTGTCACGGCATTGATTGGGTCTGATTGTTCGTATTTCAGTCTTCCACTGTGCTGTCATTGCTCCATCTTTGAGAGGTCGGTTCTTGGTTCTGGTCTGCGCCATTTGGCATGCGACAGCGACCGAACCATAAACCATAACCAAAGGTTTTTTCTTCCTCAGAAGCAGGATGACCCTAAGCTAAATGGCCCAAAGGTTGGCCCTTTCGCCAGACCAAGGCCAAAATCCCAACCTTGACCCCTCATTATCTCCGCGACCCTTCCTAAGGAACCTCAAACAGTGTACCTCTGTGCACACAGTCCTACCATGAACCCGCTCTGAGCTGTGCAATGCTGAACTGATCATGCACCATGCAAGGGAACAATTCAGGTCTGGTTGTAGTTCCTCACTCTCTTCCCATATCTACCCACTTCATTATGTGCTGACCTCCTTGCACTGATGAAATGTTAGTAACCCATGCCAGCTGGAGTGTGACCGATACTCTCCTGATTACAGTAATTTCAGCTACATGGATATGTCCAGCGCCAGACATTTTAGAAACCGCTCTCCAAAATGTCCCTGCCTGATGGCTCAGTGGTACACACACATAACTACTGTTGTTGGCAAACAGATCAAGATTGTGAATCCAGTCGAAAATACAATGAGGTTGCAAGGAGGGGGGGGGGGGGGGGGGGGGGGGGGGGGAAAAAAAAAAAAAAAAAAAAAAAAAAAAAAAAAAAAAAAAAAAAAAAAAAAAAAAAAAAAAAAAAGGGAAAAAAAAAAGAAGGGGGGGGGGGGGGAAAAAAAGGGGGGGGGGGGGGGGGGGGGGGGGGGGGGGGGGGAGGAAGAGAGGAGAACAAAAGTAAAAACAAACAGGAAACCACTCTCCTGTATTGTACTCAGAGATACCCCCTTTCCATGCTATCCTTCCTCTTATGCATTGGTTTGTTGCCAGCTTGACCTTGTGTGCTTCACTCGCTACTTTCCTTTCCTTTGTTCCAGTCCTTCCTTCACTCCCTCCCACTGTTTTGTTTTTCTCTCCTCCCCTACCACCTCCCTTCGACTTCTTCCATTCTTTGCTGCCTTCGCTTGTTTCGCCTCCTTCCTTGCACTTGTTTTCTGCGATTTTCTTCCTCTCAATACATCTCCATGCTTCGTTTCTTTTCCTTTCTCTATATCCTTCACCTACAAACCTCCTTTCTTTCCTTTCCCCCCTCCCACTTTGCTTATTTCCTTCTTGCTTGCACGTGACTAAGTTCCTCCCACATATGCCCTTCACCACCCCCCTCCCCTCTTCTTCCCCCCTGCCCCCGTTCCCTGCCATCCTCCTCTTCCTTTTTTGTAGCAGGACAGACTAACTGGCTTTTGTGCAACACTCTAATCAACTCCTTTGCATGGTGACTTTTTTTTCGCTGACTACAGCACAGCAACCCCTTGTGACGACTCCATGAACAAGCAAACCAGAGTTTGATCAGCTGGATTTCTTCCTTTTTTCTTCCTCCAGCCAGTACTCACTCAGCATCTCTCTTGTGATCTTCCACTGAATGAGAGAGAGAGCGAGCATGAACACATAAGCACCTCGACACTGTTCGATAGGCAACTCGACACTGGTCTTTTGACTTCTCCTGCAGTGCCAAAGACATCCCTTGTAGTGGTCTCACAGTGGTGACAACAGCACCATGAAACTGCTCTTCCTTTTCCCCTCCATAGAAAAGGAGTATGTAGTGCAGCTCATGACTCTGAAACATGACAACCTTGTGGACTGACAATGTTTTCCCGTGAGTCTGAAGTCGCAGCAAACACAAAAATGGGAAACCCCTAAGACCCACTTTCAGCCCATTTCATTCCAAGATGACAGGCCTTCGCACACTGCCTCCCCTAAATGTCTTAGCTTAGAATTGTGTTTTTGTTTTTCAACTATTTGACTACACCATACAAACAACAATTGAATATTTATGGCAAGACGACTATCGATTCTTAAACAACCTATATTTTCAACATTCAACAATCATTTGGTAGATTATCCAAGTCCTAGCAATCTCAGCTATTGGTGGGGTATTGGATCCCTTGCTGGTATTTGTTTGGTAATCCAGATAATTACAGGCATTTTTTTAGCAATGCATCCATCCAAAGCAAAGACGCCCCTTGTACCTTTCTTTCCACTCCATCAAACACATCGCCAGTGAAGATAAGATCCGGGCCGGGTTTTTTCCCATCTACTACAAATCAAATCGCATCTTACTTAGTAGATGGTTGCCTCTTAGTCTTTGAGTGAAGGATTGATCTAAACTTATGTTTTTTTTTGTCAAACGTCGTCTCCACAAGGCGCCTTCAAGAATCCACCAAGAGCTAAGGTTTCTTGACAACTCTTTGGTATAATGGATGGGACTAATTGGGTGGTTCCGGAGATTCTGACTTTTCTTGCTTCTAAAATAGGTTTGACATTTTCAATCGCGTTAACAAAATGCGTTTCTCTTTTCCACTTTCCATTACCCTGGGACTCGACCCTATCAAAGGATCGAAGAGAAGGCGCTAACGCGAAGTTCTGAATCTTAATTGGGGAATACAGCCTTGTAAGATTTACTTGGAGAGCCGTATGCAATGAAAGTTGCGCGTACAGTTCGGAGGAGAGAAAAAACAAAGCATTTCGAATTTTGTGACATCCAGCGTCATCAAAGTGACCTCACATTATTCATGCAGTGCTCTCAAAGTCAGTCAATAAAATAGCATACCCTCCTTTGCCTGGCCACGAAACAGATCTACCCCCTTCTTTCTCGTCATTCTACAAACGTCCTTTCTCTCAAGTGCCTTTAACATTCCATTCATGTAACCTTCTACACTGCTGGATATCAGGTACATAAGTTCATGTTCACGACTCGTCCATGTTAGCAAGGAGCTGAGCTCACTCGGACAGAACTCTCTTTGACTGCATCCTATGTGAAGGTTTTAAGAGGGGCAGGGAGGAAACAAGAGAGGGGGCAGGGAAGGTGGGGGAATGAGGGGTGTGCAGCAGACAGCCATGTACAGTGAGGCATCAATGAGGAGAGCGGCAACAGACAGACAAGAGATACAGGCAATCGACAGACGGACAGAGACAGATGGGTGAGCAGACAGATGGGCAGAAAGACATGGCAGGCAGGCAGGAAGGTTGAAAGGCAGACAGCCAGACACACGGAGGCAGAGAGAGAGAGAGAGAGAGAGAGAGAGAGAGAGAGAGAGAGAGAGAGAGAGAGAGAGAGAGAGAGAGAGAGAGGGCATTGATCCAAGCTGGAGACACGCCTTCAGGGACTAGACTATTTTCTGAGTGTTTCCAGGGTGTAAAAGCTTACAACAACAACATATGCGCCCATGTCGATGCTGGGAGTGTAAGTGGGGAGGTTCTTCCCACGAATGCAGACTGCAATATTGGATGCAAGACGGCCTAGAACCATGTCTGATGCATCCACCACGAACCACTTTTTCTCCTTGTTAATGTGCTCTTCTGCCTTCGGGTAGTATGTATTGTTCCACACATCCTGCAGTGCAAAGCGATGAGAACAAATCAACACATAGGTCAACATCAAATTAACAAACACAATGACATCACTCTTGATCAAACCGATACACAGAGAGAAACAGCGTCAAAAACCATGCCTCTTCTGCATACGCGCAATAACCAATATGCTTGTCCAACCAATGAAGGAGTGATTACATGCAACAGAATGTGAGCTTTGGTCCACGACCTGAATTGGAATCTTCCCTAAGAGACCAACACTGTGCATGATCGTAGGCTCAAATGCCTTATACCATTGGATGAATATGATCTCACCAAGAACTGACTTGAAGAAGGAGGCAGGTTATCCAACCCATGCACATGTACATGTGGTGTTGTTTTTGTCAGCCAACAAGTCTCCTCGAAATCCGGCGGAAGAGTGGGAATTTCGCAGCCTCCTACAATTCAGAAGGCTCTGTGCAAACCATCACTGTAAAAACAGACCTGATTAGTTTCGAGGGGCAGATTTTTCGTGACACAGCCAACTGGTAACAGGCCAGGCCTCCAGGGAGACTGATCAGCGTTTTGATGTGGCCCAACGGCATTACAGAATTCAGTGTTCTGGGCATGGACCACTTGCCAGAGAGGTCTTCCAGGCCAAGGAAGGGGGGGGGGGGGGGGGGGGGGGACAACAAACCATGTGCAGCTCGTAGCTCAGTTGCTAAGAGCTCTGGCGTTGCAAACATCATTGAGGTGGGTTCAGCATACACTCATCCACTCCTGCCCGTACTTAGTTGTTGTTAGATTGACACCCCACACACGTCCCCCAGCCACAGTATACACGAGCAGGTACGATACTGCACGGAGTATTTAGGTGGGGGGCCCAGGGGGGGCACTATCCCATGGAGCACCTATGGCGGTGGGGCATCTTGAGTGGTAGGGCAAGGGGAGGGAGCATCCCTCTGTGAAGGCATCATCCTGCCGCTTGCTCGCCTGCCTGCAAGAAGACGACAACGTCGTCCTCATCGGTGGACACAGACAGGCCCTCGTCCGTCACACCATCAACAGCCCCAGACTATTGATTTGCGTCCAGGCCCCGACTTTCAAATCCGGTCTGCATTGCACAATCTTCTCTCACAGGCTGCTACTGGCAATTCGCAACAGATGGAATCTGTCATCCAGCAAGCAACGTCAATTTGGCGTGCCCGCCTGCTGCAGTGGTTGAGCAATAATATCTCCAATGCAGTTATGACTGCGCATATCCGTCAGCTTGAATGCCTGATTCAAAAGTATCAACATGTCCGCCAGCGATACACAGCTCAGTCTCGAGATACCTTCCTTGATCATATTAAAGTTGTGCACATGCACGGGGTGTCTCAGGCAATGGGGCTGCAACAAGCCTTGCATGCACCCCAGCTGCTCCACTTGCACCCTGACCTTGATGCCGCAGCACACCTGTGTATTTGTGTAAGTTGTTGCCGCCAACTCGCATCCAATTCTCTAATTTCATTGCGCTCAGCGTCACACTTGGGATCTCCCTGCTTGACCCTCATACTGTCAATGTCGGAAAGTGTTTCCTGACTGCTCACACTTAGTCGACGACCATGTTGTTACAGCCGACTGCGACATCATTCCTGATGATCGCCTCCGCGACTTGTTCCATGAAGGCTCGAAATATCGTCTTAATAAACAAATCGCTGATGTGCTTCAGGCTGTTAGAGTCGGCCTTGACGAGTATATTGCTAAATACTTGAGGTCGGTCTCCAAGCAGCTTCGGCCGGCTACTCTGAACAAATTGCACCAGTGGCGCTCAACCGTTCTCACACGTTGCCAAAGCAACATCTCATCCCCCCACACTACCACACGACAACCGCACTCCCTTCACTCAGTGCACAGGGCTTTGAGACACCTTCAACAACACTTTGCTATTGTTCCTGTCGACAAGACCTCACATAACTTGGCAATCTGTTGTAAAAATTGGTACATGTCTCATCTATCTGCTCATTTGGACAACCCTACCTATGATGTGCCTCTTGAGTCTGTCGCAGATATCCTAGAACATCACGCGCTCTGGAATCATCGGTGGGGATATACACACAAAGACACGCTGCCATATTTGTACTACGCACTTAAAGCGCACAAATCGCCCCCTAGGCTTCGCGGTATTGTCGGCGTCACGGAGCGGAATAATCTCTCCCTGCAGCAGCGATCTCGATCAGTTGCGCCATCTATTCATGCAGTCCACCATCGACCTCCCCACAAACCCTTGGCTAGTACTACCGTCGCTTCTGCCCGCCTCAGCGTTGCACTACAAAGGAGTCGTTGAAACTCTCTGTGAGAAGGATAATGTGTTGTATCAGCAAAGCGGTGTGAGACGGTGTTGGATCGTGCAAAGCGCTGAGGAGGTGATGCTTGATCTCAAACGTAATTCCTCTTCTCTTCGTGACCATGCTCCTCGCACTGTTGATTTCACAACTATGTATACCAATCTTCCTCATGACCATATTTGTCATAATGTATCAAAAGCGGTTGAGGAAGCCTATACATGTGCCTTACAACAACACGCACAGGGGCGCACACATCCTCCTACCCTTAACACGATTGTTAAAGGGCCCCGTCAAGGGGAGTGGACGGTTGATACCGGACCAAACACCTTGACCGTTTCACAAATTCTTGAACATCTCCATTTCATTGTGACAAACGCGTATCTTTATGCAGCGGACGGCACCTCGCGACATCAGCTGATTGGCATCCCGATGGGGACTAATTCTGGTCCGGAGATAGCTAATTTAACATTGTATTGGGATGAGGCTCGATTTGTTGATGACCTCCAGCAGTGTGATCTTCGAGCAGCTCAACGGTATGCGTTCACATACCGCTTGATCGATGATGTTCTCTCATGGGGACATCTGCCACCACCGTCAGAACACTATGGCCTCGAATGGAAGGAGACCACAGCGCCTGATGGCTCTTCCACATTCTTAGGTGCATGCCTCCAAGTCCGCCCTGACAGTTCCCTGCGTATGAGTGTCTTTGACAAAGCAGCTAAATGGAATTTCCTTGTTATTCGTTATCCTAGTGCTACGTCTAACGCCCCTGCACACCAGCCGGCGAGAGTGTTTACAAGCCAGCTTACTAGGTTTGAGTATGTCTGCAACAACTGGTATGATTTCAAAACTGCAGCAGCGATGCTCACACGCCGCATGCTTTTTCGTGGGCACACTCCAACAACGCTTGCGAAAGGATGGACTTCCTATATTCGTAAACGTCAACACAGGTACCCTGCGCACGTGACCCACCTCTCCAGCTGGTTCCGCAACATGCTTCGATGGTCTATTCATCACCCGCTTTCTCGGGTATCCACACACTGTCCTCGAACTACGCTTGTCACAACCCCTTCTTCATTATCGGCGCCTGTCACACCTATCACAGCCTCTTCTTCATTACTTGCGTCTACCGCACCTGCGTCCTCATCAATCTTAGTAACCCCTTCCATGCCGTTTGTGACCCTAGCTGCTCCTTTTCGGTTCGCAACCTCTTCCTCGCCGGCCTTGGTTGCTTCTACGATTGATTCCGCAGGAGCAACTCGACCCGCAGCTGCTGTGTCGCCCTTGGTCTCGGTGTGTTCCTCCATGGCATCCGGTGCCACCGCAGTTGTTGTGTCGCCCTTGGTCTCGGTGTGTTCCTCCATGGCATCCGTGAACACCGCAACTGCTTTGTCGCCCTTGGTCTCGGTCCGTTCCTCCATCGCATCTGTGGCCATGCCTGCATTTCCACCTGCAGAGTCCCCTCTTCGGGTCTCACCTACGACTGCCCCCCCTGTCTCTACTTCAGCCACTTCACCACCCCTGACTTCATCCCCCCCATCTTCACCACCTATATTTCCCCTAATTTTATCACCGTCCGTTACCCACCTTCCGACAACTCTACCACCCCTGTCTTCACCACTCCTACCTCCCCTGGTTTTGTCTCCATCCGTTACCCCTCTTCCTAATCCACAAACCACTTCGTCCACACAGACTCCGTCATTATGTTTTGCCCCTGCAGAAAGCCCGCTTCGTCGTCCTAGACGCCGACTTCCACCTACTTCCCAACTTCAGCTTACTCCCCTTTCCTCCATCTCTGTTCTTKGACGAAGAAGAACCCGTTCATTCTCCCCACCGCGGCCCTCCCCAACATCCCGTCCTCGTCTTTTGCCGCCCCAAGCATCCTTACCACACATGCAATGCTCTTCGACTGCAGACCTTTCTGCAACGCGGCAAACACAAAACAGGAGGGATGATGGCGAGGGGCTATCCGAGGATGAACTTGGCAAGGGGACTATAGGAGATTCTGTAGAAAATCCGCCTAACTGGCCTCCACCGAAACTGTGTGGTCTCGCTGCTACTAACATCTGTTTGAAAGCCTATCGTCGGGAACCATATACTCACTCTGATTTCTTGTCCATTACTTCCGATCTTGATGCTCAGGAACGTGAGTTATATGGCGATAACCTGACTCTGCATCCCCCACAGGATAGTAATTACACTCCACATGGGGGATTCAATGTCTCCACATGATAAGGCGCCGGCTTGATATACAGTGTGCCCCTTCGGGTGGCGACCCGGACCACTGTTCGCACGTTTGTGCCTATATTCTACATACTCCTGGCCATTACACCGCTCTTGTCCGTGCCTCTGGTTCTTGGGAATTATGGAATGGCGGTGCTATGGTGCAAACTATTACTGCCATCCGTGATCTCGTGCGTAATTACCCTAACCTGCAACTGTTCCAGATCATTGACCCTATGGGTACCTCGTGTACTTCCATGCCCACCTCTACGCCTATCTCTGTGCCTACCTCTGTACCTGTCTCTGTGCCTGTTTCTGTGTCTGTCTCCTTCCAAATTACTGACTCTGTGGGTACTACGTGTACTTCCGTCCCCGCCTCTGCACCTGTCTCTGTGCCTGCCTCCACACCTGTCTCCATGCCCGTTTCTGTGTCTGTCTCCGTGCCTACCTCCATGTATGTCATCGTGCCTGTTTTAGTCTTCATTCCCCCACA